GTTAAGTGGGTCGAAATTATATATTTACAGAAACTGGTCTAAACAAGACAGAGAGCAATCAATTCTGTAATCCAACTTTAAACACATGTAACTCTTAAACTACTTGGCCAAATGACACCAAATTTTAACAGAAGATAGATACATGAATTATCTATAACTTTTGTATAAACAAGTTTCACAACAAAGCACATTATCATGAAGAACTTTGCTAAGTTCCCAGATCTGTCCATAAATCACATCGGCAAGAAAATAATTATTAACTTATGTTGCAAACACATAATTGGGCAAAACCAACCTTACCAACATTTCACACATGACTATAGAACACCAGAAAACATGGTGCTCACCTCTAAATAAATTTTCTTAAAGCATTTCTTAATTTATTTAGACATCAAGGTGTATTTATGAACATATACCAAAAGTGCACAATAAATTCTACAAAAATTACAGTAGCTCACATATCCTCTCAATAGTCTACTGTACAAATTTCATACTATTTTCATAAGTATATCTACCTCTACGAAAAAGACAATTTGCTATTGCAAGAAATCATGTGAAAGCGAGATAAACCAATAACTCACTCATACTTCATCCAATACTCATGAAATTTATACCACATATCAACTATCACATTAGTAACATGCCACAAAAATTTCACTTCATTTGGAGCCCTAGATCTGCAGTTATGGAAAATAACAAATTCAACTAGTATTACAACCTTACTGCACAAATCTATTTTTATAGCAAAATATTTAAACTAAAACATGCTATATTATAGATCTAATGCATAGACAATTTCACAAGGATTCCAAAAAGTCCTAATTTACTATTTTACGATTTTTCTACTAATTACTACGAATTTTCAAAGTGGATCATTCAAATCTGCCTAAATCAAAGAAAAAGGAATCTAAATATTGCATCGAGGACCTTGCTATTTTCACAAATTAAACCGCAACAACCAGATCCTTTACTGCACTATTCATATGAGTCACTGATTCTTCACTTAACCGCCTGGAGAACATCATATTCACGCGCGTGGTCCTTCTTCCTCTTCAAATCGAGCTGAGCAGAGGACGTCGTCGGGGCAGGCCGGTGGCCGATTCGACTGGCTGGAGAGGGGCGTCGACGGCCACAGAGGGGCGACGCGGACTCGCAGCGACCAACCACAACCGCGCCTATCCCCGAGTTTGGCCCGCAGCAGCTAGTGGCTACCTGGCCACGGTAGCCGAGGGAGGCGGCCTGAACGACGGCGGCGGCGGACGGCAACGCGCGGTAGGTCTTGGCTCTGCCTAGGGCTTGGGGAGGCGGTCGTGGAGCCGTAGGCATACTCGGTGGCGGCGCTGGAGGGGCCGAATCAGACCTTGGGCCAAAAATGAAGTTTGCTCACCTCGGCCTACTCTACATTTTTCATTAAGGCACTCAGGTCCTTTGAGCAACAGATCTGTGGGTAAATAATCACAAAGATGATAGTGCCAACGCGTTGATAACGGTCACGGAAACTCGCTTTCGGAGGTCAAAACTCTGTCAAACCTAATCCAACTTTTTGTATGCTCTTTTCCAATGAATTAGCTCCAACTTCTATTTTGGGGTCAAGTCAAGTTGCTTAACGAAAACACGAGAACGCGAGATGCCAATGCTGAGGTCGATGAATTTCTAGACTTAGAATATTTCTAAGTGCTGAAATCAGCAGCAGGTTCCAACTTTGAGCCACTGCTAGACTTGGTTCCGAGCTGATCCATGGTATACTCCAAAAACAAAGTTTCTTCTACATAACATGAGCTTCAACTTTTATTTAATGTCCAACTTCAAAACAGGTGCAGAAGCTATAGTTCTACTTTGACCAAAGTAGGATCACGATAAAGCTTAAATTATCCTTTGTGATCTATTGGATCATTTTCTTAGCATTTGCTCAACATGAACCTTTCATGACTTTTGTTGTAGAGTTCATCTAGAGTCATTTGGGCAAGGTTGCAAGATTTGGTTGGTGACCTAGAATTCCATTCACTTTATAAAACAATCCAGGCAAGGACATAATTTGTCATTTCATGTGACTTCTTAATTCCAAACTTCACGAAACTTTTCCATGGATCAATATAGATGGATATTGATGTGAGACACATGAAACAAGTACGTCCAGCATTACCCAATCATACTTTTTAGAAAGGGCAGCATGTAAGCAATGGTGCATGGTCCAAGTTTAAGTGGTGGGTCATTTTCATATGTTTGACCTAACATCTCCATCACCACTTAACATGCCATGTTTAAGCTCAAACCCATTGCTTAACTGGTGACAAACACCTGGGGTGTTACATGCCAATTTTCCCACAGCGCCGGCAGGCGTTGGGGTCGACCTGCTTCTTCTTCTCCGAAGAAGCCTTGCCGCAGCGCTTGCCATCGCCACCGCGGCTGGAGGATGCTGCCTTCCTAGAGTTCCTCCTAGCAGCCTACTCCTCCTCTGTCAGCAGCAGTTTGCCGTTGTCCTTCGTTGCTGTCGCCTGCTCCATGCGCTCGTCCACCGCCCGCAGACGACCTATCACATCCTCAATGGTGAGGGTGGACAAGTCCAGCATCGTCTCTATGGAGAGAGCGATCTGGATGTACTTTGTCGGCACGGAGTGGAGGTACTTGGAGACCGTCTTCTCTTCGTCGATTGTGACATCATGGCTCTTCAGCTTCCTGATGAGCGTCTGCAGGCGAAGGGAGAAGTCCTCCACCGTTTCACCATCCTTGAACTTGAGATTGGCATACTCCTGCCTCAGGAGCTGGGCCGTCGCCTTCTTTGCGCGGTCGGATCCGACGCGCATTGCCGTAATAGCCTCCCACGCCTCCTTAGCAGAGCTCTTCGCCCCCAACGACTCTCTGTACTCCGCCGGTATAACAGCGAGGATAGCCTCCAATGCTGACATATCATCTTCTTCATTGTCGGTGCCCTTGTCAACAGTATTCCAGAGCCGTCGGGCTCTAGGCTTGACCTTCATGGTCACCGACCACTCTCCATAGTTGGTGCGAGTCAGCGTCGGTCAACTAGTGCCGCTGACCTCCCGCACCGTGCAAACAACGACCTCTGGTCGTGACCTCCGGTCGTGGCTGGGCAGCCACAACAGTGCCACTGCTGTCGTCCATCTCCGAACCGTTCGTCATTGCAAGCGGTTAGTCCAGCAACGGCGTTCGTACGGCTCCGATACCACTTGTTAGCTCACAGGATCACCGGCTCAGGTAAGTTGACAACTCACCAGTCTTGCCGACCACGGCCGAGCACGACTGAGGCTGTCCAACCACACATACTATGGCTAGAGGTAGAAGAAGAGGAAGAATAGAGTATACACACACAGTACAAGCACCAGCGTTGGCCGGAGCCCTGTATGAAAGATGGTAAAACCGAACTCTCTTTACTGAGTTGTCGTGGTAGTCTATTTATACAACTTTATCCATCTAGTCGTAGTACAGCGCACATGCTGCAATAGTAACTAGATAACACAGCAGGACTGACTTCTGCGCCTGTCCCTGCATGTGGTTATAGTGCGGCAGGTGAGCCGTTCGACGCCTGCCTCTGCAGCGGTTACAGTACCACAACAGGGGATCTTTTTGACGCCGCATTCCCTTGCTGTATGTTCACACAAAAAAAGCAGTAGATTTCCCTCCTCGTTGTTGTCGTCTGTCCGAAGTCCGTTGCCGATTTCGTAGCAGTAACCAGAGAAAAAACTTACAAATTGCAACACGCTGGCGCCCAATAATGTTTCCAAATTGGAATTGTGCGACCTTTGAACTGGATAGAGTATGATCCCTGTGCCTTCTAGGTCCAGGTGACCTTTGAAAAGGGAGGCCGGAAACGAGCAGTCTGTTCGGTTGGCTGGTTCATTTCGTTGCTGGTTCGTGAAGAAGCACTGTTGGCTGGTTTGTGTGAGAGAAAAATACTGTTCCGGTTGGAAATTTACGATCGTTTACGATAAGCCACGGCAAAACGAAAAGGCTGGAGAGATCGTAATTCCAGTGGGGCTACTCCACTTCGATCCGTAGATGAAACTCCTGTCCAAGATCGGCTCAGCAACCCTCCCTACCCACACATCCGAAACTGAACCTGTCGGAGTCGACAACGACACTGCTGCTGCTGGCTGCTCCGCTCATCGGAACGGGTTTGGTCGCTGACCGACTGGCGCTCGCGAGCACGGAGAACGGCAGATTCGACGGAGAGGCGGGCCGGCGCGGCGGTGCCACTCTACGGGCCAACTCGGGCCCAGTAGAAGCTAGGCGGCCTCGTGAGCACAAACGGGCCTGCGATGTGATGCCTTGCGTGTACTGTCCTCGTGAGCACAAACGGGCCTGCGATGTGAAAAGTGTGCGGGCCAGAAAATCGTTGACAAGGCCCAAAGTGGTGTGCCAGTGAGATCACCCCAATTTACGGCATTGCAGTTGCAGAGCAGTTTCTGCTAACTGACTCCGAAACTTCTGATGTGATGACAAGCTTGAAATTTCAATTCACCCTTTAAACCTCGTCGATGCAAGTTGTATGTTTACACTTTTACAGGAAACAACGTGGCATGTACAACCTTTCACTTCAACAGTTTAAGATTGACAAAAAGATTAAAATGTTTCTTCACTTCTTTTTTTTGTTGCAAAAAGAAGAGATTTTAATAAGCAAAAGTAAAAGAGAGATACAAGGAAAGCAACGACTAATCCACGTCCGAACGAACTTTTATGACAGAAGAAGGTGTTCTGTTTTACACGCGCGAGTTCACCGGAGTTTCCTTCCGCGGTTGCTTCAACGGCTAACTCGGCGTCATTACGACGCCGTCTCGCTCTCGTGTTCCCATCTCCAGTTCGTTTCATAGCCGGACCTCTCCTCCCGTTAAAGAGCCAAGACGAGCACGACCAACTCGCAAACGGCCAGGGGGCGAAGAATTCCTTCCTTACTTCACTTCCACGCAGAGTCCAGAGGGCACAATCACAGCTTCAGTCAATAAACCCTAGCCCCTCTCTTCCCCACGGGCCCCCCTTCCCGTATGGACGGGGCCCATATCGCCGCCGCCTCGCCGGAGGCCGGCGGGGCGTCCTCGTCGGCGTCGTCCGCCTCGTCTTACGGCGGCTCGGCGTCCGGGCGCTCCTGGCTGCGGAAGGGGGTGCACCTGCGGCGGCGGCGGCGGCGGGTGGTGGCCGTTAAGGGAGGGGAGAGAGCCGGTGGCGGCGATGTGCAGGATCTCGCGCTGCCTCTCGGGATGTCCTTCGCCGCGGTGCTTGCCCAGGTGAGCGGGATGTGTCTTGCCTCTTTCCTTCTCTTCTTGTCTAGGCAGCGGCGACCCAAAGATTCAATCTTTACGCCCTTCGTGCGATCCAGCTTGCCTTGCTATGTTTGCATGGTTAGAATTTTGTGCGAGCGTTCGCAAGAATATGTAGTTGGTTACTACTTATTCATTAATTGGTAGTTCCATTTAGACTCAAATTGTTGTTTTGCGCGATGCTTGTATGTATGCAAGAAGCCAAGAAAGAGTTTAAGCTGCCCCTGACCCAAATTGTTGTTCCAGTAAACACTCAGCAATTGTTTGGTACTATTGTGATTAGATTAGAAGCTAGTCTTTTCTCTCTGCCACCCAAGCGGATGCTGTTCATTGAATTGTGATTATTTGGCTCCCCAGTGGCGCTTGCATTGTGTGACAGTATCTCAAGACCCAGCTGCTCTCATCTTTATTGGAGTTTGTGACTACCAAACATGAGGTGCTGCTCAAGCCACTGAAGATTTCTATTTTATTCAGTGCAAAATTGATGAGTTCTGTCGAACTTGAGATAATGCTGTTCAGTTCCGATTGGGGGAAAAGTATAGGAACTGTAGACTTGTATATACTTTCTATAAAAGCTGGGTTACCTCTGTCAAAAAAAGTAAAGGAACTTTGGATGAATCAGATCCTACTATTCTTGCTTGGCTCATGAAAGATTATTTTTGGCTGTTGTTTCAAACTTGCCATATGAATGCACATAGCTAAAGGGCTGGGGACGACATACTTTGATTTTTAATGCTTATCTTGATTATGGTCCTGTTTGACTTATGTTCTGTTGTTAACTGTTATTTTTGTTTTTAAAAATAAATTCTATGAGTTTGAATCTTAAGCACTGCATGCTTGTTTATATCAAGGTGTAAAGGCATGAGCATCTCATCCTAATATTCTAATTGATAGTGCGTGCTGGAATGTTTGCTACTTATATTTTTGGCCTAATAGGGGAAGTACATTCTATCAGTATTTCAAATTGTGCAATTAGTGAAATGATTTTCGGTGGATCTACTTGGGGAAACACCAATCAGATTCAAAAACTAACACCTCCTTCTCTTACAGGTTCTAAATAGATGCAGTGGTTCTGAAGGAAGATTAGGACCTGATGTCCTCTCAAAGGTACATATGCTGTCTTCAGTCTTCTCGTAAATGATTGCTGTTTGGAACAAAACCATGGATGTCTCACACCAATTCTGGATGCAGATGTGTACCTCGGCAGTGAAGGAGTCCTTAACAAATGTATGAGCAGGCCGGTTTCTTTTTGACTATGTTTCCGCTTCCCATAAGCTTCTTATACCTCTTTTTTTTGTGGTGTAGATTTATGGTGACAAATTTCAGAGTTTCATGAGTAACTTTGAGAAAGCTTTTGGTAGTACACTGAGAACCATTCACCTTATCAATGAAACACCTGTCTATGAGCAAGATATGGCGCAATGTTCTTACAGAGATGGTAATTCTGTACCTGATGAAATCAAGTTGGGTGGTGCTGATTCATTACCTGAAATAAAGTTGGGTGGTGCTGATTCACAAAGTCAGATACATGATGTCCACCAGATTGACATGCCCCCGAGTTCCATGAATAATCAGATTGTTCTTCATGCGGGCGTCAATCATCAGCTGGTTCACCTTACTCGTAGCAGATCTAATCCAGAAATTGATCAGCACATCCTTAGTGTATTTGAGAGATCTCTGAATGAGCAAGCTCGTTCAAATGAGCTCAAGGAGCTTGAAATAGGACTCACTATGAGAAAATTGCAATTGAGCCGATCTCAGTTAGCTCTGAGCTCCGATTCACACATGTTAGAGAAGATCAAAGTTCGGATGGGATTTCAAAAAGCCTCTTTCAAAGAGAAGAAATTCAAGACTGAAATGGAGGATACAAAACATGCAGAACTTTTCAGGAAACTTATAGATATGCTTCTTACGGCAGTGGTACTCATGTCTGTCTGTTTTGGATATGGAACATATATTTACTCGTACCAGCGGATAACTGCTGCTACTTCAGCCTGTGCAGCAATTTCAAGGGTATGTACCACATTTTTCCAATACAAATTAGCTGTTTCCAATGTCATTGTTGAGAAGCTCATATCATGTGCTCCCTTTTCTTGCAGGAGTATACATCTTGGTGGATGCCAAGTTCAGTGTCAGCATTCAACTCTGGTTTGTTGCTTTTCAAATGCCATATGATAGCAGCAACAAGGATATTCTTTGGAATTTTGATGCTCCTATTAATTGGTTGGTTGATATTCCAGCGTTCTGCAATGACTGGACCAAACATGCCAGTAACATTCAATGTTATGATATTGGGAGTTCTTTGTGGTTATTTTGGAAGCCGTTGTGTCGACACACTGGGCGGGGATGGAAATGTATGGCTTATATACTGGGAGGCCCTTTGCTCCATCCATTTACTTGGAAACATTTGGCCATCTCTTTTACATCGCATGCTCTATGGTCCTATTTCTGTGACTCACAGGACCAAGGCTGTTCATTTACCATATTGGGCCCGCCGATACACATTTTATGTTTTGGTGTCACTTATTCTGCCATGCTTGGCTGGTTTGCTGCCATTTGCATCTCTGTCAGACTGGAAAGATCTTGCAGTTCAACATTTGAAGTCCAGATTCAGTGGAAGTAACATTGAGGATTGATTGTTGAGAGATTGGTTGTGGTTATCAGTGTAAGCTCAAACCCTTTTTGTGAAGGTGTAAAGGCTTTTGCAGTTTTGGCCACTGTTGTCCATTAGGACCACATATGAATTGGATTTCAGTGTAGCAAAGGAGGAAAGCTATTTTGTTTGACTTCCTTTCATCCTCGGACCGAAGATATGTAAACAGAGTTATTGGAGTGACAACAAAATCTCTCCTTTCCTTGTAGTGAAATATCAGATGGGCCAGGTTCTGTAGTTGTGCTCTTATGTGCACCGCTACCGAAACCAAGAGCAAGACGCTTCATATCGCCTATGTAATTTATTGTTACCAGGAAGCTTATGAATATAATTAGTCTCTGTAGTTTCATTGCATATTTTTCGTGGCTCTTCTGTGCACGGACATTTTCGACAGTGATTGGAATCTGATGATTTACCTTCCCTTCTCCATGGTCTGGGTGGTCTCCTCATCCCATTTTCAACAGTTGCTTGCAATAGTTCTTCAGATGCATGTATGTTGTAAAGGGGCTCAGAAGCTCAATGCATCATTTGTATTTATTTGTACACATTATTTGGATTTGTTATGTGTACAGCAGTGATGTACGGTGATATAGATCTGTAAAGAGTTTTTTTTTTAGAGAGAGAGAGAGAGAGAGAGTTGCTGCAGCATCAATTATATGTATCAGTTCAACAGAACTTGCTTATGTTTGTGCAATGCTCTCATTCAGAATAAGTGGAGTTAAAAACTGAGTGTGCCCAAATTATTTTTACTGTGGCCTACAATGGCTTTATAGATGCTTAAACTGGTATGAAATGGCATGTGCAAGTTTGTCTTGAAATTTCAAAATAGTTATTTTTTAAATCACGGCATGGCTGGGAAATCTGGAACTGGATGCCGCAGGGGGCTCCCGAGCTGGCTCAGGCGGTGCTGCTCGAGGGGGAAAACTTTTGCTGCAGCTGCTCCGCCGCCCACTCGGCGGGGAAGCTGTTTGATTTGCGCTGTTTGACGGTCCTGCTCAGTGGGGTCCGCCGGCAACGGGTGTTATTTAGATTTTTTGTGGAAAAAATAAGCAGAAACATGGCTGTGGCCGCGGCTCCGTCTCTCGCTCTCCCCCCACCTCCGCGCTCCACCCAAGAATCCCAACGCGCACCCCGCCATGCGCCGCGGGACGTCGTCTCCTGGACGTCCACCATCGCGCACGCGGCGCGACAGGGTGACCTGCATGCCGCGGCCGCGTCTCTCTGCGCTATGTTCTCCTCCCCCGCCGCGCCGGCCCCGAACGACGTCACGCTGCTTACCGTCCTCTCCGCCTGCGCCGACTCTCCATCCTTGCCGCTAGCCCGCCCCCTCGCCCTCACCCTCCACGCCCGCGCGCTCAAGCTATTCCCGTCCCACCTCCTCCTCTGCACCTGCCTCGCGCGGTTCTACCTCGCGTCCCGCCTCCCGCACCTCGCGCTCCAGCTGTTCGACACAATGCCTGTCCGCTCCATCGTCACCTACAACACTGTGATCTTCGGGCTTATGCGGAACGGCCTCGTGGACGCGGCGTTCGAGGTGTTCGACGGGATGCCCGGCCCGGACAAGGTCTCATGGACGGCGCTCATCGACGGGTTCGTCAAGAACGGGCGCCATGACGAGGCCATCGACTGCTTCCGCGCCATGCTGCTGGACGGCGTCAAGCCGGACTACGTCACGTTGATCGCCGTCGTATCTGCATGCGCGGAGGTAGGCGCGCTCGGGCTCGGGATGTGGGTGCACCGGCTCGTGCTCAGGCAGGGATTGGAGCGCAATGTCCGCGTTGCCAACTCGCTGATCGACATGTACGCGCGGTGCGGACAGGTGAACCTCGCAGCGCAGGTGTTCCGCTCCATTAGGAAGCGGACGGTGGTCTCCTGGAACTCGATGATCGTCGGGTTCGCAGCCAATGGCCGATGCACGGACGCGATCGAGCTCTTCGAGGAGATGCGGAGGCAGGGGTTCAAGCCGGACGCGGTGACGCTCACCGGCGTCCTCACGGCTTGCAGCCATGCCGGTCTCACTGAGCACGGCCTGAGGTACTACGACCTCATGACGACAGAGTACAGTGTCGCTGCGCGGATGGAGCACTACGGGTGCGTGGTCGACCTGCTCGGCCGTGCCGGGCGATTGGAAGAGGCGATGCACGTGGTGGAGACGATGCCGATGCGACCCAACGAGGTGGTGCTCGGGGCACTCCTCGCGGGTTGCCGGATGCACGGCGACCTGGACATGGCCGAGCAGCTGATGCACCACCTCTTCGAGCTAGACCCCGGGGGCGACGCCAACTACGTGCTGCTTTCCAACATCTACGCGGCCGTCGGGAAGTGGGACGGCGCGGGGAAGGTCCGAAGCCTGATGAAAGCGCGCGGGGTGAAGAAACGGCCGGGGCACAGCACCGTGGAGATCGATGGCGACGTGCACGAGTTCGTGTCGAGCGATCGGTCCCATCCGCAGGCCGAGGAGATCGGCCAGATGCTTGGGCTACTGAGGCACGAGATGGCAATGTATGTTTGTGATGATCATGGAAGCAGCAGCTTGGATGGGGATTGAGCTGCTGGGACTGCAAGAATATGGAAGATGCAATACTTCAAGGCAGCACCACAGGGTTCAAAGTATTGCCTGTGCCTGTGGAATGTCCTCTCTGTAAAGGTGGTTCTTTGCTAGGGATGAAAATGGATCGGATCGGAGCGGATAATAGCTTCTCCACATCCTAATCCATTCATTTTGATTGGATACGGAGCGGATCGGATATTACATGGATTTGGATGCGAATACGGGTTTTTTAGGATGTCGGAAATGGTATGGATTTGGACCGGTGTCGGAGTGGAAGCGGACTTTTAAAGTCGGATAATATGTGCTTCATTAACCAAAGTTATATAGCGGCAAATAGACAATCACTAGAATTACCATTCCAGGTCATGGGTAAACATACTTAAATTACTATAATAGTTGACTAGCTTTGTTTGTGGGCTACATATAATAATGCTTGTGTCATGGGCTGGGCTAACTTATATTCTTGCCGCTTGGGCTCCTTACAATATTCGGATTATCTTATTATGAACGTCGGATAATCCGCGTTCAATTATCGGTGGATTTCGCAAATCCCATATCCTACACCGCATCCGCATATAATCGGATTCAGATTATCCGTATTCGCACGGATATTAAAAACACTTCTCCATATCCTTAAAATTTGGATTCGAACGGATCGGATTATCCATACCACTCTCACCCCTAATCTTTACTGGTCCAACAGACGAAACATCTGTGTAGATATGTGTCTGTATTGTCTTTGTAGCTTGCTAGTGCACGTAGCAGTTGGCCTGTTACTACTACCAGGACATGGTTATTGCCCATCATCACTGAGTCATAATGTAGGGATTCAGCGTATACAGCACATGGGTAGATCAGTTGATTTCAGTATGTTTGATCACAATTTGATGAGATCGATAACACAGACAACCATGTTGCTTTTATGTGGAGCTTAGGCATATATGATCGGCTAAAGACTAAAGAGTACAGACACTAGCATTCTAGGTGCTCTGTTAACATCAACAAAAATGGAATTTGTCCTGTACATGTACGTGGCTAAAAACAGAATACGAAATATTATACGAAATATTATATTAGAGTATCGACCATTTTTTTATCTCTCCACGGATGACCATGGCCAAGCGCCAAGCGACCGGGGCTTCCATGCTGACGGCGATGTGGCGTGATCTGTGATTTGTCTTTTCATAGAAAAAAAAATTATGATTTGTGATCTGTGGAGGCTGGAGGTAGAAGAAGGGTGGAGGCTGTTGGATCATAATCCTATGGTAAAAAAAATCATGTATTGAAACTGCATAAAACACATGGTTGTGTAGTAGACAGACTCGATATTATATTAGAGCATTGACCAACCATGGAAGGGCGGGTCTGGTGCAAGCGGTAGAGTCTTACCTCCTGTGACCGTAAGGTCCCGGGTTCGAGTCACGGTCTCCTCGCAATGCACATGCAAGGGTAAGGCTTGCCACTGACACCCTTTTCCAGACCTCGTACAAAGCGAGAGCTCTCTGCACTTGGTACGCCCTATTGACCAACCACTGTATTATACCGCCAGCATAAACATCTTTCACGCAACATTTTTGACATTAGAGTGATTTCCCGTCAGGCCAAAATGTCAAGCACTAGTAAACACTAGATCAGCCGGATATTCAGGCACAATCTGAAATAGTCGTTAGAGCATGGTATAAAGAACGGTAGAAGCACGAAAAGAACCACTTGAAACGAACGCAAATTGCCCACATTAGAGCACACATTGTTGCTTCTAAGCGTTTGGATGTGCTTACCAGATTGAAAGCAATTTTAGACCTTTCCCTAAACTACAAAGCATGAAAATGGTACAGTGAGCAAGGGATGACCTCCCCCTAAACTACAAAGCATGAAAATGGCACATTGAGCAAGGAATGCCTTCAGATTGAGGGATCATTCTCCGAATTCAGGCCAGGGGTCATCCTCATTATAGCAACAGCTCACGCATGTAGGTTAAATCTATAAAATGAAAAAAAAAATCATTAGTACAGGCAAGTTCAGCTAAATATTTTCTTGAGTGATAAAATGGAGGTGATCAAAGCAGCTGTTTGTTTAATAGGAGGCAGGAAGACTTACCAGCTTATGTACAATCAAATATGTTAGCAATCAATGAGGACATCAGGCGCCATATTGTTGCAGCGATCTCTGCACAAATGGGTGCTCAAATAGCTGAGCAGCAGATGGCCGGTCATTTGGATTTGCTTGGACACACTTCTTTATGAAATCACGCGCATCTTCTGATAATGTATTAGGAATTTCTGGTGGTATTCCCCTACCAATTTTAAGCAAAGCATGTGTCTACAAAACAGGAGAAATATGATATCATTCACCTTGAAAGTATAGCTTTCAATCAAGAGAGTGCTACTTGTGTGTGCGCATTTATGATATTTCTCACAAAAATAATGGAATCATCTTGACCAAGACTACTGCTATTTTTGGTCCACTATACCATATGACATTTGCACAAACAAACATAGATAGATAAACAGCAAATCTATCAGTCAGGAAAGGTAGCCACATGGATCTTCTTTCTTTCTTCTTGTATTCAAAGTTTAAACTTTAAATTACGTTATATATACAAGTTTGTTACTGCTGCAGCAGAAAATTGAGGCACAATCACTCACCCATTCCATATCAGGGTATGGCACTTTGCCTGTCAGCATCTCCAAAACTGTGCAGCCAAGACTCCATATGTCTGCTGGAGGTCCATGTGGCTTAGCCTTAGCAACCTAATAATGAAAATATGCCATCAGGAAATGCCCACAATATTGGGTCGCAACTGGCAAGACCAAATTTTATCATCACTTTTGTGACAAAGTAAAGTAATAGCTTGAAGTCATATCACGCTTTTGTTTGTCACAGTGCTTACAAAATTTTCAGTTACAATTACAACTAGCTGGCTTGATTTTCAAAAGCTGGCTCATAAGTATCAAACTTGCCATTGTCAAGTAACTGAACTACGGAAAGGCACATCATTAATGTTGAAACCACTTGAGATACTTAGAATTATATTCGTGATTATTTTAAGATCACTGAGATAGAAACAGCGCAGAACCACAACTGCACATACTAACCTCAGGGGCCATCCAGTAGACAGTTCCCTTGCTAGATTTTGCTTGGTTCAAAATTGACATCTTGCGAATGCAAATTAGAAAGAGTCAGCATAACATGTAGATGTAGAACTTAGATGAATCATACGGTGTTTAGAATGTCGTAGTGAATACCTCCTTTGCAAGTCCAAAATCTGCCAATTTGACCAATCCGCTTGCATCAACTAGGATATTGGCACATTTTATATCTCTAGTAACATAGGGGGTGAGCATGTTCAATATCCAGATGTAAAGTAGAAAATCAAATTGATACATCATTCTGATTCAATCCTAACTCACCTATGCAGAACATTCCGCTGATGTAGATAGTGCAAACCATTCAGAATCTGCCTTGTATATGCTGAGACTTGTGAATCTTGCAAACGGTATTTTTTATATAAAGCTGCCAAAGATCCTTGAGTAACAAGTTCAAGAAAAATATATAGTTTCCCACCTTCCTGCAAAGAATTCGTCCAATAAATTTAACATTAAAAAAACGTTCATGATGGACAGCTGCCATATACTTGAAGATAGCATGTAATATGAACAAAAGGAGAGCACAAAACGGAGCACAACAAAGCAATCACCACACAGAGAAAATTTTAATATAGAAAATAAATGTATGCTTATCATAGTTTTATTCTGGAAATGAATTTCATGACTATAGAAATGAGTTTAGTACCTTATCTGTTCCAAAATACTGAACTATATTTTCATGCTCCAAACGACTCAAGAGAGATATCTCCTGGAACAGTGAAACAAAATAATTACCTATTATCAGTGGAAGTCAAGAAAAATAATTGGATGATTGAGAAACATGTTTGAAGCAGCGTAATCAGCATAATTCTCAAGCATGCATAATTCATAACTCACATGTTCAAGCTGAAGAATGCATTGTTTTGCATTGAGTCCTTGGTCCATTAATGATACTTCCTTGACAGCAAAGAAAAAGCCATCACTGTAAAATACATGTTAGAAGTCAGTCTCTGAAATATTGTGTTGCACAGGATGTATGTGTTCATCAAAACTGTCTGAATGTTTTCCCACCAAATAGCTGCATTTGATAATAGAAAATTTGTGAACTCTGGGTTCCTATGAAAATGATAAATTGATCTCATATAATGCTAGCCAACATCAAGAAATGGCATCACAGACAACCTGTGAAAAGATCGATATATGCATGCCAATCTTATAATTATTATATATAACTAAATATTGTTTCTGGCACAGAGAATCCTAATGAAGTGAAAGCTCAGATGGAACACAGGACTCTGCATGAAGCACCAGGAGATTTTATTCCCTCAAACAAAGATTCCAAGATAGACTAAAATCCAACGAATAAGACTTGACTTAGGGTCAACTGAAAACTGATGTCCAGTATATTCTTTTGAAAGTCAGGCAATAGTTAAGCACGCCTAAAATGAGAAGTATTACATCCATTGCAATATATGTGAAAACTGCTAGTAGCACCATAAGAACCCAATTATGCACGCTAAAACTTGATAGCTGATATACCAGAACATAAACACAGTTTCAGCAATACTATGTATATTCCGCACAGCAAAACTGTAGCTGTGCTTCCATTGTTCTCTCTGTCCTAGTTAATTATGACGCAAACAAAAACACAATAATGCGAATATGATAGTAATTATCATGAAGTAGGAAGATCCAAACTTACTCGCTAATCGCCTCGGACACTGAACCAAAAGATCCACTGCCGAGATGATGTCCCTTTTGCCAAGACGTGATAGTTCTCTTAAACCGCCTGTTTGGCGACGGCGAGATCAAATACTCTGTGCTCCGAGAAGGGGACTCAGCTAAGGCTTGAACCACGGCAGCGGTAGTCTCTCTTGGCGCCTCGACAACTACCGCTTTTGTTCTCTCCACTCGTAGCTGATCCACCTTGACCACATCGCCCTTTCCCTTCACTCCGTCTGCAGTCCTCTCCTTCACCACAGCGGCAATCGCTCGTATGGAAGATTCCCCTGTCTCCGATTGGACAGCTCTGTTGCTCGATTCGGTTCCAGACCCCTTGTACGATCGTGCAGAAACTTCAGCAGCCTCCGGTTGGACTACTTTGGCGGCCAACGCAGCTTGCTCACCCTCGACGGCTGCATCCAGTCTCGCTGCGACCGCGGCGTCCCGTCCAGAAACATCTGGAGGCCCCTGTGGTGCTGGTGCCATCCCCTCGGCGCCCGCACCCGGCAGCAGCTGCGGCGCCTCAAGCGACTGGCGGCGGCTGCGGGAAGAGTTGGGGATGTGCGCCATGGTGGCGGCGTAGACGGCCGGCGAGATGGTGAAGTCCTCGGGGCCCTTGAGGCCGAGCTTCCGGAAGAGGTCGGCGACCTCCGCGCCCCCGCGGCGGATGCGGAAGCTGGTCTGCGACGCGAACTCCGGGCCGAGGTCGACCGGCGCGAGATCGTCGGCGCCGTCGTCCTCGGCCGGGTACGAGGAGTGTTTCATCGCGTTGATGCGCGCGAGCTGCGGCCGATGGCGCGGCCTGGGACGCTGCGGCGCCGCCATGGGATGGGATGCGCTCCGGCGCGCGGTGACCCTTGTGGGGGGCAGGGCAGGAGGGAGGGCACAGACGCGAGGCGGAACGCGTCCGCGGTTGCCGGTTGCGAGTGGGGTTTGACGATGAGGGAGGGAGGGGGGAGGGAGGGGGTTTGCGGCCTGCTTCTCCGCGACCTGGGAGGCGCCGATGCCGCCGTTTGCCGTGCGCGCGCGCTCTGTGGTCGCTGCGTTGGGGAATAGCGAGAGCCGAAAGCGACCGGGTCGGCGCCTTGCGCGCGTGTTTTTTTGTCACGGCGTATCGCGTCGCGAGCGGCGGAACGGGGCAAGAGACGACCGGGCTGCGGCCGCCGGGCGGGGCAGGGCAGGCAGGGGGTCGCGGTCACATCACACGTTGACATGGCCTACGCTGCGTTGGGGAATAGCAAGAGCCGAAAGCGACCGGGTCGGCGCCTTGCGCGCGTGTTTTTTGTCACGGCGTATCGCGTCGCGAGCGGCGGAACGGGGGAAGAGGACGACCGGGCTGCGGCCGCCGGGCGGGGCAGGGCAGGCAGGGGGTCGCGGTCACATCACACGTTGACATGGCCTACGCGTCAGGACTGTGGAGGAGCAGCCAGCGCACCTGGTCGTTTGGGCTGCAGCCGCCGAGCCGCTGGACTAGCCGGTTAGCCTCCGTCTCGGGGCTGCGCTCCACATCGGCGAAGCAACTGCAGCGTGTTCGTTTGCGAAAATGATCAAATTTTAACTAAATAGTCGTCGACGATTTTTTCAGGCTGCCAAAGTAAACCGATAATGCGCTTAGTCGATTAAGGTTGTGAATTGGGGATAAGTTGGAGGTCAGAACGGTAGCGTCGTTGATCGCTCCACCAAGTCATGGTCAAACATGGATGTGTATACGGTGACCGTCAAACATGGATGTGTACGGTGTACCGTCAAACGCAACAAAAATAGTCAATGATGGATGCCCGCTTGCCCAGTGCCCCAGTCACGTGTGCCCGTCCGTATACACCCGCTGTTTGGTTCACACGGCTATGGTGTTTGATTGTTACTCCTAAATTTTAGTTGATGACTCATTAAATGTTTGATATATGTATGAAGTATTAAATATAGATTAATTATGAAACTAATTACATAGTGTGCGACTAATTCGTGAGACGAATCTTTTAAGCCTAATTAGTCTATGATTTGACAATGTTTTGCTATAGTAAACATATGCTAATGATGGATTAATTAGGCTTAAAAAAATTGTCTCGTTGAGTACTGACGGATTATATAATTTGTTTTTTTATTAGTATCCGAACACCCTATACAACCTCCTCCCGACACACCTCCTAAATTTTAGTCACTGGAACCAAACACCACCTAAAGCTAAGGCTCCGTTCGGCTTACCCCATATTCAGCTTGTTCGGCTTCTTTTTTCAGTCGAAACAATGTTTTTCTCTTATAACAATTCAGTCAGAACAGTGTTTTTCAGCCAGTTTCAGCTAAAATTCTGCCAGCCGAACGAGCTTTAGTCATCCCATTTTTTCTTCTTTAAGTCCCTAATAAAGAGCTAAATATAGTGATTAAAATAGACTAAAGGCTCAAAAAGACAGCCCTTGTCTCTCATTGTTGCCCTGTTCCTCACCCTGCCCCCATTAATAGGGGTGTTTTGGTCTTTGCTCATCACCTTTAATGGCCATTAGTCCCGGATCCAAACAGGGTAGGGAATAAAGTTTAGCCTCAAGGACTATGGAACAAACATGCCCTATATAAGAGCATCTACAAGAGTTTTCTAAGTATCTTCCTAATCATTGGTTTCTAGCAAGATGAGAAAAAAACCCACTACAACAATTCCTAATACATTATCCTAATCTTTTAGAACTTAGAAAAATCATCATATTTCGCGTAAAGTTACGTGCTTTCGAGTCACGTATATCTTCTCTCCCCACATGTATTTGTCGGCCAATCTATAAGGTGGAAGGGTGTGGAAAAAATAAATAGTAGAAATGGTTCATGATACAAATATACAAGAGAAAAAAAATATATAAAAGTGTTTAAGATAATTTAGAAATAGTATTGGATTCCTAATATAAAATTATCTTGTATATTTTAGGAGTGGATTATTAAAAATTCTTGGAGAATGTCTTCTTTATTTCTTTCAATATTTTTTTAAGTTGTAAAATTTTATATTTTTAAAAAAGAAAATATTATGTACTTTTGGAGATGCTACAGACGAGGACATGTACAAAGTACACGTGCAGCTAACCACAAGCAGTTTCACGCCTGAATCCAGCATTCCAGCGCAACGGTAGTGTCCCTTCACCTGACGGTGCTCCGACTGTTCTGAACTTTCAGTATGGAACCGTTGGTGTTTCGATTAAAAATCAACGAGGAAATTTTTAATATTGTGCATCTGGTTTGGACGGTGTGCTAAGAGGACATGAGGTTTATACTGGTTCGGGTGAAATATCTCTACGTCCAATTCGTTGCTGTTGCTCGTGTTACTAGCACTGAAAAGTAGGGGTTACACACGGACGAGAGAGGGACAAGTCCCAAGTCTCTGATGGAAAGAACAAAGGGGTACCGAGAGCTCGATCGCTGCTCGGCTATCTGTTCGAGGCTCGATGCTAGTGGTTTTTTATCTGATGCGGTGCGATGTGATCCCCTTTAATGGGACGCCCTGCTTATTCTTTTATAAGTTAAGGAAAAGCATGGGTTACAACGGGAGAAAAAAGGAGAATGAGAGGAAGAGGAAGTCCTTTAGGGTCGCTGGGCCTTTCTTTTCCTCTGCGCGGGTCCCGCTGACACGACAGGTGGTGACAGAGATAGCTCTACGCCGGGCGTCTGTCCACCGATGATGCCATGCCCTGGCGTTGTCAGCGGGTCATGATGTCTCATTCCACCCTGGCGGGCGGCGCGGCGAACAACCAGTCTTGATCAATGGCCGTCTGACAGGAGTAAGCGGCATAGTGACCACGTGTCCGCCATCGTATGGCGATGTGAGTTCCCTGGAATGACATGTCGCGGGGACGGGTCGTGTTGAGACGTAACCGCTCCCTGCACGATGCCAGAAGTTTGACCTTGGGTTGTACTTTCTGGCCCGTAGTGGTTGGCGGCGGCGTGAGCTTCCGTTAGGAGCCGTGCCCGAGGGATCGGGCAAGGCGGAGCCCGCGGCTTCGGTGTCAGGTGAGGTGGAGCCCGTCCCCAGAGGTCGGGTGAGGTGGATCGCACGACCTTAGGGTCAGACGAGACGGAGCCTGCCCTTAGAGGTCGGGTGAGGCGGAGCCCACGGACTCGGTGTCGGACGAGGCGGAGCCCACGGACTCGGTGTCGGACGAGGCGGAGCCCACGGCCTCGGTGTCGGACGAGGCAGAGCCCGCCCCTAGAGGTTGGGCGAGGCGAATCGCACGACCTTGGGGTCGGGCGAGGCAGAGCCCGTGGCCAGAGGTCGAGCGAGGCGGAGCCCGCGACCTCGGTGTCGGATGAGGCGGAGCCCGCCCCTAAAGGTCGGGCGACGCGGATCACACGACCTTGGGGTCTGGCGAGGAGGAGCCGGCGGCCTCGGTGTCGGTTGGAGCTGTAGTCACACCTTTGACTACCTGGATGGATTAACGTATAACGACCATTAGCCCCTCCTCTTCGGGTACTCTAGTATTGGTCCCCAACAGTAGCCCCCGAGCTTTCGGATGAATAGAATACTCCTTTGGAGGCTTTTCTGAGCGGGAGGACTCTGAGGGCTTTGGCCTTCTTTTGTAGCCCATGGCGTAACCTGGGAACAGTGGTTCCCTCTCGTCGAGACCGGACCCTTCGTGGGTATGGCCATGAGACATGGAAAAAGGTCTTTCTGATTGGGGCCCCGGTATCCCGTTCACGGGGATCCGGCTAGGGCCAGCTGGTGACCGACTCCAGATTCTCAACGGTCAATCCATATAGTTCTCGGGTCCGTTCGACCGATCCCGAGGGTTCTCTGCCTTCCTTAGGAAAAAACCATGGATCGTATCCGACCGAGACTCGAATGTGGGCCAGGATGCCCACAGCGCTTGCATGCCTAGGTGCTGGTTGCTAGCGGACCCACCCCTTTCTACTTTGTTACCTTGAAGGTGTCCAGAGCGGTTGTCGAACCCGTCGATAGGCCAACATTTGAGCTCCTAGGCCTAGATGGGCCATAGAGGTGTTTTTAGATCCGTATTCCTCGCACTTGCGACAAGTCATGACCCGTCCGAAGAGGCAAAATGTCCGGTGATTTTTCTGAGGGAACGGATAAACGTTGCATGTGCATATCCCGTGGCGTGACGTTGTGGTAGATCATGGTAGGCGCGGAGATCTAGGTGAGCGGTTGGTTTCCTCACGCCCATCGCCCCTATAAAACCAAAGGGTTCACCCCTCGGGTTTCATACCTTGCCTTCTTGCCTTCGCATCTATAACCGCCGTCGCCAATCGCCTAGGCTTCCTGCATCCGCATCCCCGCCACCGTCGAGCTCACATCCACCCGCCCCCATCTTCCAATGGATCCGTGGTGCTGCTCTGACATCACCTTCCAGCGCATGGAGGGCCTTGTCTGTCGCGGCCTTCTCCGCACGCGAACCTCGGCCGAGGACTGGCTGCTGCCGGGTGAGGAAGAACTATCGTCACCGCCCAACGGCTACGTGGTGTCGTTCGCGCACTTCCATGAGCGTGGGTTTGCTACCCACACACACAAATTTCTTTGGGGGCTGCTGCATTACTACAAGATCGAGTTGCAGCACCTCAATCCCAACGAAATTCAGCACATGGCGACGTTCGTCGCCCTGTGCGAGGGATTCCTGGGGATCAGACCCCACTTCAATCTCTGGAGGTACTTCTTTGCCATCACCCTCTAGAAGAAGAGGGAGAAAAGTGGCAGGCAGGAGCTGCACATGCCGATGGGGTGCGCCGGCATCCAGCTCCGAAACAATCGGGTTGGCGAGTACCCATCGATGTGGCTGTTGACATCCAACAAGGGGTGGCACTTGCAGTGGTTCTACCTTAAGAACGACACCACCGCCACCCTG